AAAGAGGTGATTTCATTCACAACAATGAGAAAATGGATCGATGAAATGGCCCACCTTCTTGATGCTTTCACCAGTCGCTTCCGCCTTGAGCTACGTCGATTACTCGGAGTCGGTGTAATATTCAAGAAGACCCTTTTGGGGTGTTCCATAGAGGAGCAATTTGAACTGACACCTAATAAGGATATAGGCACTCTTTGAAAGCTATCAGAACCTTTATTTGCTGAGTAGTGAACATTATGTTTGAATACCGTAGCATCCGTATCTTGTCATTTCTATTAACTGGAGAAATAAAGATTACTCCCCGGCTACTTCTACAGGCTTCTATAAACTTACAGTGATGATGTTTTATTCAGGTATTCACTCCGAACAAGCCATATGTATCGATCCCAGCGCAGGATCAGTGGGATCACGATAAGGTGAGCGTGATCTGGAGACTGTGAGCTGAAAGAGAATGTACCAAAAGATCAGATGTTCAGGATGCCGCTTATCTGTACTATTGTGCCAACGAGACTGTCCACGGAATCGAGTTTCACACACCTCCTCATTCGATCCACGGAGTGCCTTTGGTGGCCGACATCTCGTCGAACTTCCTTTCACGGCCATTCGATTTCACTAACGTAGGCAGCATTTTCAATAAGCGCTTAGTTAATTGAGTGCGCAATGGATTGATGAATTTTAGCACGGATCGTGTTTGGAGGAACACAGAAAAATCTCGGCGCTGCTGGTCTCACAATCGTGATCGTTCGTAAGGATCTAATTGGGAAGGTGGGTAGCTCTTCTCGGAAATTCGGAGCTGTTGCTGCAATTGAACTGCAGCTTTTCAGCAACAAAAAGTGACTCCAGCGATTCTCAGTTACAAAGAGATGCAGGACAACGACAGCCTCTACAATACTCCAGCTGTGTACGGGTGAGTGGTCAGAAGAGTAGTACCCGTCAAGAGTCCAAATGTAGCTGGAAGAAAGTGAAAAATGGGTCCTTGTAAGAAAATTGCACGTTTGAAATGAGCCACGCAGGTGCTGTTCATTCAAAGCCGATTTAGAAATTTAGGGGAAGATGTTCAGGTGAACGGTTAGCTTAGGCATTGATTATTTGATAGGTCCATGTGCAACCTATGACATGCTCTTTACCCAATCCTTGTGGTACGTACGACATCGGCCTTGTCAAATTATTCCGAAGGATGTATACATGCTCACGCTGGCGCACTACCGTATTTCCCCGAGGAAGACCTAATTTCGACCAGAAGTCTCGGACCGTGCCTTTGAGTAAGAAGACGTGAGTGGGGGAGTGAGGGCAATTGGGGGAGTGTGGGTGCGTGGGCCACTCTTGGTGAGGCAAATGCTTGAGCATTAGACCTGGGGTTAAACCGGTTGACTCGTGAAAGGCGGTGCAGAAGAAGCAAAAAGGTTAGATGCAACAACACCATTTTCACGCAATGAAAATGCTTGCTCCATATTAACAGGTGTCTTTTAAGCATGTACATTACGAATCTGGTGCTGAAGTGGATTCGCGACATGGGTGGAGTGGATGCGATTTCTGAAATGAACAAGGTCGGTTGATTTCGATCCACTTCTTAGGTATTCTTTTCAATTGCAATTTTTTTTGCAGAAGAAAGCTGGTATGCTGTACGAGGTCATTGATAGCTCCAACGGCTTCTACACTTGTCCTGTAGACAAGAAATGTCGCAGTTTTATGAACATCTGCTTCCGCATCCAAGGAGGAAATGACGCTATGGAGGCCGAATTTCTCAAAGGAGCTGCCGATAGGGGAATGATCTCCCTGAAGGGACACAGGTGAGCTTCCCCCCCCTTCGAGTCCGATGATCTTTCCTAAGATATCTGTGCTATATTTCAGATCGGTTGGCGGTATTCGAGCCTCTCTCTATAATGCAGTCACAGTTGAAGAAACTGGGGTCCTCGTTGACTGGATGCGGGACTTCATGGCCTCACAAGCTGCCTGAATCCAGCTTGACTCGCAACCTTGTTCAACTCACGGGCCTTCGACGTTTGGACCCTCTTCCGTGTATCTTCCTTTTGATTTCTGTGATACACGATCCAAATTATCTATTCAATGCCCATTGCATTGCCCCTTCTCGCTTGCTCTTCTAATTGAACTTGAGCATTAATTGTATTAATGACTGTTTTTGTGTGAATGCCGGATTCCGTGTCTATCTTTGGAATTTTGATTGGCATTCAGATATCTGAATCTACGGTAATGTACCATTTCTTGTACCCATCCGATTATCTTCTCTTATTGAGAAGTAGTAATGTTTGCACAGTCACGATTATTATGCCACCAGTCGGAGACTGGTGACACACTGGAGTGCCTGAGTTTAAATGAAATAAATGTGCACGAATACTTTCAAGATCACCCATTCATAATGGCAAAGAATTCAACCGAATAACCTATAAGGCATCATACGGGCATCCCTCAGGTACCTAAGCCTACAGTTGCAGACTCTCGGAATAAAAACACTCCCCGCATTTGATTTAATCGCGTAAGGCTTAGGCCCGTTTTTTCAAACCACAATACATCTCTGTGTAAGTTTGAATCATCCCGATCACACACCCCGTATATTGGCGATAGCGGCCTACATGATTTTCCAAGGTTCCCATTTGGATATTCACTTGAACAGTCCCAAGAACACCTCTTACATTATCACCGCGCGAAAAATGCAAATCACTTTTATCACCTGTTCGGCCACTGTTTAAGCCAATACATGGACCTGTTTGATACGCCGGGATCGGTAAAGCAAAGTCCCACTCAAAGGACCACACTGCTTCAAAGTGCCGGGCCTTCCTCTTAAAAACGTTGTCCCGCCACTTTCAAAGAGAGTTGCGATGAGGTTCGAGGTCGAAATAAAAGAAAAGGACCCGGTCTGAGAAAGACAGGGGGACCAACGCGCAATTCGCAGCGAAGAGATGCCCCGCGATCTAGATGACCTCCCCGCGCGTCTAATGCCGCGGCACCGCCCACTCTCAGCTCGCAAAACTTCTAACCGTCCCTGCAGCTAAGCGTCAGTTAAAGCATCTTTGTAAGAGCTGCGTAATGCGGAAATCGACGGGCAATAAGCGTTTCCACTTCTCGGCTACTCCAGGTCAATGCTCAGCTCGCTCTCACGGTTTTTTCTCTGTTACTCAGGCCAAGAAAGTAATGGATCATGGGTATACCAATAAAATTGTGCTCAGCTCTGCATTCTCTTAAGAATCCTACGGAAAAAGCTCCGCCTCCATTACCCCAAAAACGATACCCCTTAGGCCCCTAGCCTCATGAGCATAGCAAAAAGAACGGAACATAAGCGTTAGTTTCGATAATACTAATCCTACACACAAGACAAAATGATCACTCTTTCCGTGGAAGATTCCTTTAAGGTATCGTTTTCTGTGGTAATGAGGGCGGAGCTTTTTCCGTGGAAGATTCCTTTAAATGCAAACGTGTCAAACAGGGGCATGCCGGCCTCGAGAGATCAGCTGGTCTGAGCGGTATATCGACAGGGAGGTGGTAGGAGTTGATCGCGGGGGGTCATGAGAGGCCATCTTTTCCACAGGACCACGAATCCGCGGGCGCGAAGGTCCCAATAAAAGGCTCCGAGTTCCTATGCAGTACTCCCACTTCCATACAGCCTCCGGTGTTTCCAAGCTTGTCTGGTCTTTCCTGTTTCCAGCAGCTCCATTTCGAGTTTCATGTGCCTTCGTGCGTTTCCGGTGGGAGCTGTAGGGGCGCTAGTAGGTCGTGTTGCAAAGCCTTAATGGCTGTGCGGAGAAAGCCTGTGTGGCCTACCGTTGGAAGAGGTTGCGCCGTGCACCCGCGCTGTGGACATAAATTCCCTGCTTGCTCCTCGTGTTCGCCCGACACCAACCACCTCCGAGCGCCGTTCGTACAAGACATCTATCTAATTTTTTTTTACATTTGTTAGTTCTGTTTGTTATAATAAACCTTCCTTTGTACTGCTTGTCTCACACGCACAGTTAAAAGGTTTACTCCCACGTCGTAGCAGACGAATCCATCTTACACTACAAACGAACAGAAATACTTATTGGGAGGAGAAGAGTACATAGCAATGAGGTTCAAGTATCACAATGTCCGTCACCAGTTCGGAAAATTGCTGAAGTCTGTTTACACCGCGAAAGAATGACCTCCGAGAACACTGCAATTATTAGATACCGGTGAAACTCCAGTTCGGAGGAGGTTATTAATGGTACTAGAGAGCACTTCTTTGGGCTATCCAACACTATGGATAAGATAATAAGTAAACGACTCATTTCAAGCGTACTTTTGATAAGGACCGGTGGATGTCCTACATTCCACACTACCTGCCCACATCCTATCCACAGGTGATCCAGGTCCTCCACCCTTAGCCCTTTGCAGAGGTGTCCTTTCTCCTGGTCCAGGACCGTTCCCTTGGGTCATGGCAGGCGGAAATGTGAAAACGTTTCAGGGTTTCTCACCCATTACACCAATACTTTATCAGAAGTCTACTTTAAATGAGTCGATTACGTGTCGTGAGCCCTCTAATCCTTATCTTGAGTATTGGAGAAAAAATGGAGTGCCCCCCCCCCCGAACTGGAGTTTCACCCACATAATTTTACGTGTGGGTACATTTATGTGACAGTAAATCTAAGACGTAACGGTCGACATTTAGAAAAATATTAATGCAAAGAGGAATTCAAATATCGAATAAGTTTTTCCGGCGCTATCGCAATATACGGGGGCAACCTCTAGGACTAAGCCTAGGAAGGGGCTGGGATTCCGAGAATGTAAATAGCTGACGCGCTCTGGGGCCGTATCCTGTCTTTCCCGAAGGAGGACGCGTCCCCCGCCGCTAATTCTATCCTAAAGTTAGGGGAGAGGGGGTTGCGTGGACCCGCCGTTAACCGTGATGTTGTAGCGACCCTCCCTGTTGCAGCACTCTTTACTTTGAGGGGTCGCGCTGTCTGGAGTCTAGAAACGCAAGTATGTTGGTCCTATGACGCAACCCTGTCTCCTCCAGCCGTAGGATAGGATCAGCAACGGGGGAAGGAAAGGATAGCCCCTGGAGTCTCTCCTCTCCGCCTGAGGCTTAATCCCGTTTTTAGCAAAAAGATCATGTTTTGCATTGTTACCACAATGCCCCCGTATCTTGCGATAGAGCCACTTCTTCTTGCCCATCCATATGCTATCATTTACCGTTATAAGCGGCAGATATGTCTCCGTTCAAGTTGCATCCTGTATTGTCAGATATTATATCGTAGCCTAGACTTGAATGCAGTAGGGAACATTTTCAATATAGTCAGCATCTGGAAAAAGGCATAAGTATGTATCTTAAGCGATCAGTGTTAATCGGTCCTTTTTCTGGATGTGCCATGCATTCGCCCTAACTGAAAATGTCGTGTGTACGTCGAATACGCAAATGAGAATGATCTGTTGGGCTTGATCGATGATTGATTGGCCGTCTCCTGTAGGCGTGACCCCTTTTTATCCTCCATTTTGTTGCCCAATGAGTCATGTCCTCCGCTGTCATCAATGTGTTGAATATGTGATGCTGGAGACAGTAACGTACCTTATCCCTGTAGGCATCAACGCCATTCGACAAGTCGACAGCGAAAAAGATGCTCATCTGCTCATTCGCGCACTGTGGACGTGGTGCTGTAAGAACATGAATGAGTATTGATTAAGCACTCTTTCCTTCCGTGACTCGCAACTGGTCTCATAATCCTACTCCTGACAGTGGTAGCCAATCTTTCCACAGTTTCATGTTCTGCTACTTCAGGAAGGCGAATCTCAGAAAAAGATTGGGCACGGTATTTTTGGACGTGGCTGACGCGTACTATGAAAATTTATAAAGTGAAGGTAAGGCCGATGTCAGACCTTGCGAATTGAAAAATTCTCTATCAATTGGTCCGATCGCGTCGTGTACAACGAATCGATCCACTTGCTGCGCGCGACGCGACCGCGGACGCTATCGAATCGCTAGTAGCGAATCGCTCTATTCGCAAAGTCTGACATCGGCCGAATTGCCACTTGTACTTGTGCCACTTGGGCTCAAAAAGGTGTTACAATACTTTTTAAAATATTGCATTTCGCTGCCGGCATGGTCAGAAACTATGTATTCAAGTGACAAGAGACGGTCCTGATCAGAGTCAACCCTGCGTTGCGCAGTTTTCAACGGCCACGTTGCGCAGTTTCGCCCGATTAGACACGTTCTCTCGCGCGAACATTCACACTCGCATCAACGAGCCGTTGCGAACTGCGCAACGCAGGGTTGACTCTGCTCCTATCCCCATAACCTAGTGCGCCTGTTCCTGAAATCTTCTGCCACAGGCAACGTAGCAACTCACACAACCGCGATGTTGAAGCATACCTTCCGAAATCGATCTGATGGCATCGTTGAGACTCAGATAGAGCTCATCGCTCTCACTACCAAAGCATCGGCTTGCGCTGCGTACACGAACAGTATTATCCACTACTTTCCCGACTTTTTGTTTGTCCTCACACCATGATTCGTTCATTGGTCCTTTTCACAGCGTTACGTAATCGTTGAGCGGCTCCACTGCTATGGCCACACCGTTCCGCTTGGTGTCTTCTCCATTGTAGTAGAGCTTGACACCTTCCCCGATTTCCCTGGCCTTAGCACCTTTCCATCGCGTCTCCTGAAGGCACAGGACTTGGATATTCCTGCGCGTCATCAGATCAGCAACCTCTCGGGACTTCCCGGTTAGCGATCCTACGTTCAAATCCCAATTCGAACTAGCTTCTTTGGCCGAAGGCCGTTCACTCCTCGG